TTTTTCTTAACAACCTGCTAAATTTGCAACCTCGGACACGGTCCGGAACCTTAAAAACAAAACAAAAATCAACTATTCGTACTTTTTGCAGTCGCAAAAAAATTGGAGAAAATAGCCCAAATTTTACAGAACAATTTAAATACTTTCTTATAAATAAATGCAAATTTGAAACGCACCAAGATTAACGCAATGATTGTAAATTGTCTATGACCAATTTTGCCTTGCGTAATTACTAGAAAAGTGTCTAAGGTTACAAAAAAAAAATATATTCATAATCAATATGGAATTTACAACCTTATACTTATCAAGCAAAATATTTATATAATATATTCTTTTAACATTTTATCGAGCTTACGGAGAATATTTATATGTTAAATAATTGGTCGCCACGGTATAAACTAGTACATAGGAGAGAAAGCAATCAATATCGTAAATCGAGCTGAGGATAAGAAATTAACCTAATACCTTTGATTGAAATTTTGAAATACAGGTGACAAATTTATTTTTCAAGAACACGTCCGCTACCTTATAACAACGAATTGAACTGATCGAGTGTAATTCACTGATTTGTGAAACAAACCAAAACACATGGGTGGATTTAAGCGATGAAATATTTTTATGAAAAACGGAAAATCAAGTTAGTCGTTACAAAAGCATCCAGTGTACAACTCGAATGGGTAGGTTTTATTCCCAAAGTAATGGATTCGGAGCACCGTTAGATACGTACCTTGATTGCCCGAATGACGACACATTATCCGATGACAAATACCAAGATCCAGACTACTTACATATCCAATTTCAAGAATCAATGAATTTAGAAGAAATTAATATTGAGATAACTAATGTTTCTAAAAATCCTGAACCATCTGGTTGCAAGAAACTTCATAGTACCCTAATTTGAATATTATTTCCATTTTCAATTTTGTAAAATCAAAAATATTTAAATTTTGTTTAAAATGGGACCAACTGTTTCAAAGTTTCAAATGATGCATTTCTTCGGTGACATTTCGTTGTCTTATCAATAAATATTCTGTATATAATTAATAAAATCATTATTTTAAAAAGTTACAAGTAGAACTTTCTTATCAAATAATATTTTTGTGGATCATTTAATAACGTTCTGTTATTTACTCGGCCTTATAAGTGAAACCTAAAATTGACAAATGAAAAAATAAAACTGTACTATAAGAGGCTATTAGCTTTTCTATTTCATTATTTTTTACAGATAAATGTCCATAATTTCCATAATTTTTACAACGATAAAAATAATAAACCTATGCAATTACAGTAGTTAATGTGATAAATACCAACCATTTGTTTTATATTGTTGCTGAAACAATTATTATAGAAGAAAGAATCAATGTTTAAAAATTATTGATAAGTGATCCCATTAATAAATGTTTTCCTATTTTTTCCATTAATTTGTATTTAGAATTAAGAAATATAAATTTTACAAATGTCCTTCATGTTAAATATATCAATTTTCTAACAGTGTTATCGGTGGCGGCTTGTGGGCACTAGCGGCAGTGGGGCACACACTGGAAAGGAATCCTGGGATTCGTTTTTCCCTTAGGAAAACAAGTTCTCCACTTAATGAAAGTTAAATATATTTCAAAACAATCAGTTCGGGCAATAATGATTTCTGAATGTGACTACAGGGAGCTAAATGTGACCACTCAAAATGCATTTAACTATGTATGGGGCTATTAAATCAAAAAATCATTACATATCCACTCTTGCGAAATTTGCGTAAATTTCTCAGAATAATGCAATTTACTTAACAATTCTAACTTGTTAACGCATTTTAAAGCATACGACTCTGAAGAAAAGGTGTTTGGCAATTTAAAATCTCCCAGCGAAAAATTTATCTTTTATATTTTCAAATTAGAAAAAATATTTTTATCTCTATTTGATAGTTTGTCAACTAAGCCTGGAATTTCCAACGCATACCTTTTTAAGATGAGCAAAATAGAATTTGGTCATCCTTGCCAACAATTTGCGAAAATGTACACCATTAAATTATTTATAAGACTCAGAATTTTTTATACTCTTAAATATGCAAACAGAGATTTGAAATCCTCGAAAAAGACAGACAAAACCAAAGAAAAATTAAAATTTATTATTGATTTTTTTTTTCATCATATTTTTGACTGCTTTATAAAAAAAAGTTATTTTTCTTTGTAGTTTTATTTCTTAACTATGGTCCAACTAACGTTTTTTCGTAATCACAATAAATAAATTATTATCATGCTTCAACAAACGCGCACCTTAAGCCGAAACCGGCATCGTATTTGCAAGGGAGACGGTAAAGATGCCACTGCGTACATTCGTATCTGGTCCAGGTAATCTGTGTCATGGGTACAGCACGTCTCGATGAGGACAGCGCCTTGCTTGTGACGTATAATCCATCGCATGTGTTCATCTCTTGCTAAGCGATATTGCCGTTTTCCTTGTTTTTCGCATCATAATGAGAGAGAAAACAACAGAGACACACATTTACTGTGCCCTGTGTCCATTTTCCACTTAATTTCGGAATTTTCGGAACGTCGCTCAACGCCCGGTCGTCCAGTGTCGTGCCAACGCGGTTTGGGCTGAATATTAGATAAAATAATAATAGGCATTGAGGAAAATATAAAATATGTAAGTTATTTTTTTTTGTTTATTATAGTAGAGCACGTGCCCAAGTGCCCTTACGGTCAAACCGCCACTGAGTGTTATTGTTTAAAACAATAACCAATAGGTCATCATTTTCTCAATAAATAGTTACAGATCTTTCCCAAAGAGAAATATTAAATTAATTGGGTTTACATATTTATGTCTTTATGTTTTGATCTGAGCTTTTTTTTTTAATATCAGGAACCAAAATCTATACATAGTCCTGTCTTGAGTGACGGCCCTGATATTAACTTATTTTTTTCACCCATATATTTTCTGATAACCGATGACTGCAAATTATAATAAACTTTCTTACTAAAATTTTTCTACGTTTACATATAACTGTATAACCACTATATAACAACAATATAACTAAACATATAACAACTAAACATATAACAACTATACAAGGAATTTTCTTAGTTTAACCTCGAAAATATCTGCTAAAATTATGCGGGTGTTATTATCCTCAACTTCTTGTAAATCTAATCCATTTACCACCTTATCTGCATATATGTTAAAATATTCAATAGGCATTTCTTACTAAAGGGCCGTTAAGAAATATTTTATTAAACTCCGATTGCATGATGCGTCATTTATTAAAGTATTTAAAATATGTCGTTCAGACCACCAGACCACGATGTTCAGACAAGCGTATTTGGTCCATTTACATCGATCATGGTCTATTTAAAATTGTCACACGCGACATTGATAAAATGTCGAATAAGAACGCAAAAAATTATTCTCGAATGGCGAATTCGACACTTGTTGTTAAACATAAAGTCGAGTGGTATTCAACCAGTCGGCATTATAATGTCGCATACCTTTTTTAAAGATAATGTTGTTGTGACCGTGACAGTTTATGTTTATTTTTATTTTTAAGAGAAATGAAAATAAATATGCCATAAGTTGTTTTTAAAAATATATAAATTGAATATTTACAATTTCACCTATCTGTATCTGTAACGTGTGGAGGGTGGGCTAACCCACTACACTTAGGTCTCACTAGGTTCGTTGTGCATCCTCCTAATATATAGGCACCTCCAAGCTCGTGAGCCAACCTACAGATTTAATGTAGTTGACATCGTCGCCAAGAGGTGCTTCTATTATATGGGCCGGTGTTAGCCAATTTTCGCCGAACACAAATATTCTAATTAATGGGAGCGTCGGGCAATCGTAGAGGATATGCTCGATGGTCTCATGTTCTTGTTCGCACCCCCTGCAGAGTGCGGATTCTGACAGCCTCTTGATATTTTTATAGATATTAGTAGTAGACATTATGACGAATGCGACATATTTAATAGATATTTGAGAATAGGGCCCCTGTGTAACTTTATGTTGTCCTGATGAAACTTTGTATCAGTGGAACAAGATCAAGCTTTTTGTTAAACCTTAGGGACATTTCTCTGACCGTGCTGGACTTATTTAAAAATGCCCAAGTATTTTGCGTTTTTGTTAGAAATTCTATTTTCAAGGTTATGCAATCCTTAAAATAATGATAAATATTATTTTATTCTCGAAATTAGTTTTGTATTTAGGATCCAACTTTAGTTATATGTCCTCACTTCTAATACCCCGCATCCATCTTTGTATTATACATTTTTCTTTTAGTTTCTATGTATAAAGATTTTTAAAGATAAAATTAAATTAAATCGCCATGGTTTTCTCCGTCAAGCAGTAAACAGGAAATTATTTAAATATGTGCATTATAGGTATGTATAAAGGTTGAAAATGCAAAATTACTTGTCAATATATTTTGTAACACAATTATTTTTTAATTGTAATGCAATGCAAAATTGACCATAGACAATTAAAAATCATTTGCGCTAATCTTAGAGCATTGCAAATTTGCATTTACTTATAGGAAAGTTATTTAAATCGCTCTGAAGTTTGCAGCACTTTTGCAATTTTTTTATCTATGATATAAACAAAAACGCTATTTTACAAAAAAAAAACATTTTATGGACTTTCAAAAAAGTTGCAAATCAATATAATATTGCTTCAAGTTTGCAGCAGTTTTGCAATTTCCTTTAGAAAGTTATAATAAATTTAAATTTTTTGCAATTAATAATATGTTCGAGACCTCAAAAAAGTTGCAAAATAAATTTATAATTATTTCAATTTAATAAATATTCCAACAAAGTTTGAAAACTTTTGTATTTAATGTGAATTGATTATCTTTAGTGACTGGCCTAACCTGCAAAATGCAAAGTACTATAAATTCAGTAAATTTTATAAATCGACTGCCTGGTCCTTTACAATTAAAAAGTCAAATACATGCAAAAAATAATTTACGCATATCTTAAAATTTATCAGACGCTGTGACGCTAATGAAATACCCTGTATATATACTTACTAATTTTCACTTGGTATGCTAATATAAAAGTTTATCTGATTATTGAATCTCCATAACAACACTAACAACAATAGTAGTTACCTAGATCCCCACTCCTCTGAAGATGATATCATCGTTCGCGTACCGCCTCCAGTTTTGTTATACTGATACCATTCAAGCGTCTCCCCAGACCAACAACCGACAAAACAGATACATACCATTCTCCGCGAAGTAGACAACGACAACGACATTCAAAATATTCGCCGCTGAACAAGTTTCCGATAACAAAAAGTGAAGTGCTAAAATGTCAACGATCGCCGTCGTGGTGGACAAGACCAAGGATGTGCAGTATAAAGACTACGTCAACTTTTTGGGAAGCTACAAAAATAGAAAAAACTCAACCAGAGACGAAAGTGACAACAACAGCGTTGGATATTCGTTAAATTCTTCTACAAATTCTTCATCCACTGACATTAACGAGTTGCCAATAAAATCTTTCAACGAGTATTTGCAGGATTACACTAACAAAAAATTCCAACCTGTGCAGACTGCTTTCAAGGGTAAGGACAACAACACAACAAAGAAAAATGTTAAAACCGAACTTTTTATTCAAATCAATAATTCAGAAGAAACAAATGAGCATCCTCACTTTAACGATATTATGAAGAATTTTGAAAGATCGTGCGTACACAATGGAAAAGCGAAAAATCAAAAGTTTCAACAAATACAAAAGAAATTTAATGTAAATCCAGAAAATGAAGTCAAATTACATAAAAATGCTGTAAGACTGAATTCTTTTGAATCAAAAAATAACGAACAAACACATTTTATAAAATTAACCGAACCAAAAGACACAGAAATTCATCCAAAAAAAGATGATACTATTTCAATATCAAAAGGAAACAGTAATTTTTCTTCAAATCCTGTTTCGCACGAAAATGAAAATATCAGATCACAAACACCTCCAAAGGCAATAATAAATGCGTTAAATGATAACGAAAAATATCAGTCGAAACAAAAAGTATTTACAGTTGAATCTTCCCAGCCAAAAAATGAGATTATTTTACAGCAAAAACCAGTGATATCGCCAAAAATTCTAATTAATACTGCTAATCTATCGGTGAATAAAGTTTCAACAATTTCTGCTATAAAAAAAGAAGAAATTCATAACGCAGTCCCGACCAAACAAGAAAATTCCGTTGAAATTCAAATAAATGACTGTTCTCCGTCAATGGTACCACCGCCTCCTCCCCCTCCTCCATTAGAAAATTTAACCAAAAACATTCGTACTTTTTCTCCTGTGATAAAATCTCCAGCAGCCATAAAAGTGCAGTCGAGTACCTTACCAAGGATGATGAATAATAATAAAAAATCAGTTCAGAAGGACACAGTTGATGCTGCTACGCTGGACAGAAACGATCCTAGAGTGAAAAAAGCTGTTTATGGAGCATTAAGGAATATGTATGGAGCCTATCATGAAAAAGCTAATGATTATTTGGCTACTTTGCCTAAAAATAGGGTGAAAAAAGGAAATGGGTTAGATAGCATCATAGATAGCATTGCGTAAGTAATATTTTTATATTTTGTTTACATAAGTTAAGAATGATTAAAAAATAAATAGGAATTATTAAAAAATATATCACTGGGTTTAAAAAGAGGTTATAAACGATGTTAATTAAAGACATTTTTTGTTTACTTATTTAGAAGCTTACTGAAATTTCCAATACCATAAGGGATAGGGGTGTCCCATTTAAAGCTCACTGCATGGGTTTTTTGTATTTTGTCCTATTTCATGTTTGATTTCGTACCTCTTACCGTTCCTAAATTCAGTTTATTTTAAGTGGGGCATCCTGTACATTTTTCCCAATTCATTAAAATTAAGGAAACTGATGGTCTATTTTTGTTGAAAATTTTATTGTTCTTATTTATAATAGCCACTATAATAGACCACACATTATTTTTCGTTTTAATTTTCGTATAAAGTGATTTCGTTAAAATACTCGGTAGCGCAGTGTGTCGAGCAGCTGATATTCAACAATAGTTTTATTAGTGGTACAGCGACGCACACGATTTCAGATCCTAGACCAAACCATGCGAATTTTAGTTAATTTGCATGATTCCTTGTAGGATTTGATGGGTATCATATTAGTAGTAATTGTATTTTTGTTGATATGACATTCAGATTACAAATCAATGATGGTAACAATGGTGGCTGGTGCATAGGTGCTGTAGAGCTGTATAACTGCCAAAAAATGTATCACATCTACATTTCACAGAAATTATTATTGACATTCTAAAATAAACGTAAAATAGATTTTATGGATAATCGGAAATGTGAAAAAATCTAAAAAAAATGAATAAATTGGGAGGTCAAGGGAAGGTTAAAATATAAAAAAAAACGAAAAATGAGGAGAAGAAGCCCTTTGATTTTGAAACAAAAAATCTGATCAAAAATGAGGGGTTTAAAGGGAGTTAAAATTTAAAAAAGTCATGAGAAAAACCAAAAACACGAAATTTTTAGTAAAAATTAAGCTCTATAAGGAGATGAAGACTATTGAATTTAAAAAATATTCTGAATAAAATAAAGGTCAAAGGGGGTTGAAAAAATAAATAAATAAAAATTGGGAGATAAAGGGGGTTGAAATAATGAAGAAAAAAAATCCTAATTCAAAAACGAAAGCTTTATAAGGAGATGAAGCCTATTGGTTCTGAAAAAATCTAATTAAAATGGGGATTAAAAGCGTCTGTTAAACTGTGAAGAGTATATATAATATAGAATGCCAAGCTTTATACAGGGTGTCCGATTAGTGCGTAAATGTTCAATGTATACATTTGTGTTATTAACACGCAAACAAGTTTTAAATAAAATGTATATGGATCTAAAAAATTTGTATTTTAAAAATATTTTTGGATGTACATGGTGTTGCGTTTTTGTTTGGCAAATAAAAATATATATTTTTTAAATAGAACAACCTGTACTTTATTTCAGTTTTAAAATTGTTTGGTAATACTGTTCTCAACCCTAGAATTTTTTTAAAAACTATTACAGGGTTGCCAAGCAATTATTTCTTTTATGAAATTAGAGAATACTGCAGACCTCAAATTAAATTATCATAATTTAGATAGGTTTAAAATAATTTAAAAATTCTTTAATTACAGACTTATAAGATATTAAGCTAACGAATAGTGGTGATAGAACTGGTTTATTTTAAACAGAGTGTCTTAAAACATGTCCTAAATATAGCTAATTTTGAGTTCCATTTACTTATTTATTTCAAATTTAACACTCTGTATATTATTTTAGCATAAAATTCCTTATAAATTTACCTATCCAACGATACCAACATTTTAGCCAATAACACATCAATGCGTAATTGATAGGTAGCTGTTTGATGATTTGAAATACGAAAAAAAAAATATTATAAAAGTTGTATGACCATGTTTAATAAAACATTTTAAATATACAGGGTGGTCCATAAACGAGGGGCTAGAAAAACACCCTGCAGGAAATTATACATATTTGATTATTTTCACATCGTCAACAATAATAAATGGACTTCATTTATATGCTATTTATATATAGGGTGGGTCAGAATGCGGGATAACGATTTTTTCAATTTTTTAAATGGAATATCCTATATTTTATACCATCAATTAATTAATGGAGGGTATTCCATTTGAAAAAATAAGAAAATCGTAATCTCACGTTTTGACACACCCTATATACAAAAAAGTATAGATTTGGTCAGCACCCCGTTTATAGACCACCCTGTATATTTAAAAATAAATGGTAAATATGTTCATACAACTTTTATATTAAATTTTTTTTCGTATTTCTAATAATAAAACAGCTATCGATCAATTACGCATTGATAGGACACCGTGTGTATGAGTTATTGCTAACATATTGGTATCGTTATATAAATTTATTTATGCTAATATAATATACAGGGTGTTACATTTATTGAGTAAATTGAACCTAAAATTAGCCATATTTGACATGTTTCAAAATGTATCACTACTATTCGTTAGCTTAGTATCTTATAAGTCTGTTTATTAAACAATTTTAAAATCAATGTAAAGCTACCTAAACTATGATAATTTAATTTGGGGTCTGCATCATTCTCCAATTTAAAAAAAATTGCTTGCCAACATTGTAATATTTTTTTAAAACATTTTAGGGTTAAATACAATATTACCAAACCATTCTAAAAATAAAATACAGTGCAGGGTCTTCTATTTAAAAAACATACATTTTTATTTGACAGTCAAAAACGCAACACCCTGTATATCCAAAAATATTTTTAAAATATATATTTTTCAAGTCCATATAACTTTTATTTAAAACTTGTTTGCGTGTTTATAACACAAATTGAAATATTGAACAATTACGCACTAATGGGACACTCTGTATATCTACAGCACATATGCACGAGCCGCCACTGGTTGGTAGATAGGGCAAAATAGGCCTGCAAAGGCACTTTATTGTGCACAATCTCACCTGTATCGATGTGACGTAATGCACGAATTCAATCTGGCTTACTTTTGTTAATAGATTGGCGTTCCATTTTAAATATACAGTTCACTGGGAATAGATTATTTAAATATACACGGACCGGGAAAACAAGTACGAAAAAAATTCACTGGCTCCTGGACTAGTACTGTATAGAAGGAATTTTATGAATGAAACAATATACGACCCTAATACAATTATGGTCTAGTTTAGTTCCGCTGTTGTCAGACGTTATTTTTTTTGACAATTTAAAGACCTAAAAGTATTTCAAGCAAACGCAATAACATTACTGCAGTTAAAAACATCGCAAACTTGGCATCAATATTTAAATTTTATCCAAATATTGCATTTCTGTCGAGGATCATCCGCGTTGACTTCAGAAATTGTGTAATCTGTCTTGGTTATATATATATATTGTAATGTTATAATTTGTTTTAATAACACTACATTTTAAAAAAAATTTACTTTATTATTATTTACCTTGGCTAGCCCGTATGTTGTCACTAGAGCGGATTGTCTTGCTCCCAGGGGTGGTTCATGTAAGTCAACCAATAATTAAAAATAAATTTAGAAATATTTAATTTTACCAACTCACTATTAAAAAGAAAAATAGGACCTTCCTGTATAATTAAGTAAACAAATTGACAATTTTTTTTTAAATCAAATCTTTCAAATATATTTTTATTTGTCAAACACAATGTAACATTAGAAACAGTTTCAAAATTGCTTACCTCTATATCTACTAATTTATAATAACTACTATCCTTTCATACCTCACATTCACACCTTATGAGAAAAAATATAATCTAAAAATTAAATACAGAAAAAATACCGTACTAGTATTTACAGTTCTATACTTTTCAAATTTAAATTAAATTAATCTATACAAATTTCGAAATTATTTTACTACTTTGTTCTGTAACAGTTCAAGCAGTTGTTCCGTTTTCACAAATATTAAAAAGTACTCACAGTCGGAAAACTTCAGTCCAATGAGTATGCTAATATTTGCATACTGAAAATCGATGCTCTGCTACTGCTGCCACAAGGTACTGAACCACATTTCTGTTTAGCTCCGCACAAATTTATAAAATGAGACCTATACTCATGATTGGTACTACCATATACAAAATCCTATGAAATTTGCTTACTTAATATAATATTTTAGAGAATAAATTAAATCTGACTGACAAGGTTTCTCAAATTTGTATCTGACACCAAATCGAAAATTTCTAATTAATTTGTCATTCATCTTTGACATTTCTTTTTAACTAAAACTTGTTATATAGGGTGTTATTTTACTATTTACTCATATCTTTGGCAAATTAACAGATTTTTCACATATTAATATTATTATGATTATTATTATTATAAAATAAAGCTTTTTATGCAGAGTGTTTTATAACAATTTCCCAAAATTTTGTGTTAATTAAAATTTGTTATAGAAAAATTTTATTAACACACAATTTTTATGATAAATCTATTGTTTGCAAGTTCCTAGAATATTATTTACATATGTACAATTCTGCAAAATTACTGTTTACAAATAATTCATTGGTTAATAATGTTATTATTTATTTAGGCAATATTTCATAATTATTGATTGGTGCTTCATATTGTGGAGTAGTGAATTTATTTATCATTCGCGCATCTAGACATATTCGTATCTCTCCACTTTTCTTCTTAACAATGACTAACGGATTAATGTATGGTGTTACACTGTATTCAATTATGCCCTTTTTAATTAATTCCTGTATTTCTGAATTCACTTCATTCTTATATTTATAAGGGATCGGGTATGTTTTGACTTTAAAATTATGTATATCCTTTACTTCTATCTTATGCTCATAATTCACCGCAACTCTCATCTCTTCATTAATTAAATTTTCATATTTCATCATAATCATTTTAACTTTTTCATAATACTCTTCTTCACAATTTATTCTTATATCATCTTTTTTTTCTGAACTCAAGCTTAATACCCTTTTATCATCAACTTCCTCATTTACTTTCTTTTCAAAGTCAATCCATATTTGATCTATATAAAATTTTT